CAATCCATGGGAATTCAAAGTGGAATCAAATATTCATTAATTTTGGGGAGAATTGGTATTTAATAATTTTATGTGCTCCTATCTAAGAACATGGTTATGATTTATATTTGTTCTATCTTCTTACATGTTCTTCAAAAATTTTACAGCTTCTATTGTGTACTTTCCCTGTTAAATTACTCAAGTTTTTTTCCACTCAACAGATTTGAGTACTACTATAAGAATACTTCCCACTTCCATTTCTATTGTATATTACTATAATAGACAAAAATCATTTTCACACTTAACCAGCCACTTTAACACATATCCAGTCACTGTTAAAGTGACTTGTTAAATCTAGTAGCTATTATTTTCCAGTGTCTCTTGAGCTCTTACTACACAAAAATACCATTAGAAAAAATATATAAAATTTCTCTCCTTTTCTAATATTTATTCCAATTATTTAATTTCTTGTCATAATGCTTTCCAAACAATGTTAAATAATGTTGATAGTAAAGGGAGATCCTTGTTTAGTTCCTAATTTTGATAGAAATATTTTTGGAATATTTTGATTTACAATGGTGCTTGTGATTGGCACCATCTAACAGACTTTACTATGTTTAAATAACTGCCTTCTTATATCTTATATTAAATTTTCATTAGGAAAAACCTCAAATTATATCTAACCTACCATAATCATATGATTTTTGTCCTTTTAACTTGATATAATAAAAAATGTAGCAGATTTCTTCGTAACAAATCATGATTACATTTCTGAAATAAACACTAGTGACAAACCTAATATTCTTCTGATACACTGGTAGGTTCAATTTGCTAATATTTTATTTTTACTTTTGAATGTATACAAGTGAGATTGATCTATTTTCTTTATTGAATTGTTACCTCTCCTCATTACCTTCCCATATATAAAGGTTTCTATTCTGATTTATATGTTGTTTTTGTAGTTTTCCTCAGATAGGATACATCAGTATCTTTTTTTCATCCTAACTGGTGAAGGTTCTCTTGGCTGAGTTATAGGGTTCTTGAGTTGCGGTCCTTTTTTGATTGTGTACGGGTTTTTCTACTTTTTTCTACTTCTTCTTATGTGGTAAGTAAGACTGCCTGATGTCAGTTTGGTTCTTTTTTTTTATATGTCGCTTGTTCTTTCATGTGGAAGCTTAGGAGATTTTTGCTTTTTCCTTGGAAATAAGAAATTTTACCAGACTATACATAGGTGTATACATGTCCCCTTCCTAGCCAGACAACAGTTAGCTGTTTTAATATATAGTCTCAAGTGTTTCTTCATCCCCATTACTATATATTTAATTATTGCTTCTCCAGCTGTTTCTCTCCTTTAGAACTCCTTGTATATCAGATCTCCAAGATTTGTTCTTAAGCCTCTAATCTTTTTCTTCCTGATTTTATCACTCAGTACTTTTTGCTGTGTAAAGACATAATTCTTCCCTTTGATTTTCTAGGTCAGTAATTTGGGGTTTATATGTACTGGCTGTTATATCTGTTTTATATGTATAGACTGGCCCAGGCATGACTCTTACTTACCCTTAAGGCTGGATCCAAATGCTGGGTAGTTTTAATGGTGGCATGCTGAGAACAAGTGGACGTCTTATTTCTATGGTCAAGCAATACTCTGGCTAGCAAGTGGTCAGTCTTCCATAAAGACAATAAAAGGAAGCGTCCTACTCCTTAGTCTCCTCAGCTGCAAAGGTTAATGTGCCCCTATGGGCAGACATAAGGAGGATTGCACCCTACCTGTTGTTCAGTAACACCCCTGCCTGCTAGTTAGCTTGAGATGGCAAAAGATTGCTACACTTGGAGTTGAGGGGAAGGGCCAATAATAGGAGGGTCGCATGGATCTCCTCCAATATAGCTTTCTCCAAGAACCACGGAGCTCTGATCTTTGCCCCAAGTACTGTATGTAAGAGCCAGCAGAGCCTAAAGCTTTGCTGCTTATATCCTTTAGATCCCAGCAGATGCTTTGTTAATAAGAAGTAAGTTCCCAAGATACTGTCAATTTATTCTCTGTGATATCCTATCTGAATTTAACCTTCCCTTTCTATTTCTAAGGCCATTATTCAAGTTAGGACTCTGTCATCTCAAATTTACATTCCTGGTTTCTTTGTTGGTTTCTCAGACTAAAGTCTAGCCACTCTGATCCATTCTGCACAAAACTTATTGGAAAAAGAACCTTCTTGATTACTACTGATCTTCACATAGAACAGGTCCAGCAATAAAGGGTATGACTGCCAAAAGTAATATGTAAAATGATACAACTGATAGTACTATTGCTCATTTAATAAACAGCATTCAATGCTCTGAAGAAAAAATTTTTAAGTACATTATTCTAACAAGAAAATTTATATAAACAAAAATTAAGCTTTTGATTGCTGTTAGTGTATCACATGAAAAGCACTGAATGATTTTTTAATTGAAATTGAAAGACAGATTATGTGGCATACACAAAATTCTCTGGGGAGCCCCAGTACGCACTTTAAAAAGGCATACATACAGTCACCCTACAAAACAGCCAAAACTGTAAAGAGAAGCATGCTAAAATTAATAAGACATGTGCATGCCTTAAAGTAGGGCTCTAACAGATGGTCTTAAATGTCTGTTGAACACATGTGAATGTGTGTTTTTGGTGGGTATTTTTATATTAAAATATGAAGAGAGCATATAGATCAGAAACTCAATCTCTGCCTTGAAGTAAAAAAGCTGAATTGCATATACGGAACAGTAGTTCTTCAGAATAAAGGGTTTCAAAAAATACAAACACGCCAATATTTCTAGGCTTAGGTAGACACAGCCATAAATTGGCTAAGGGTCCTCCAAAACCCTGCTACTCATGGTATATTCCACAGACCACTATCAGCAATACATGAGAACTTGTTAGAAATCCAGACTCTCAGGTCCCTACCCGGCCCAAATGAATCAAAATCTGAACTTAAACAAGAATCCCAAGGACATTCATGTAACACAATAAAGATTAAGAAGTATCACCCTGGCACACTCAAATTAACTAGTTGAATGAGAGAATGCTGGAACGAAAAATAGTTTTTCTTCATATATTCATATGACAAAAATCATTTTTGTGGGGTTAAGGTACTAGGGAATAAAAATTTATATGAGTTACCCAAAGGGCCTCTCTCAAAATAGCCATTATCTACTTAAGTGTTCTCTGGTGGCACCAAAAGTAAGTTTGGAGAAAGCATAGTTGTTTGAACGGTTTCAGATCATTGATTAATTTACTAAATAAATCAGTTCCTCTCAAACCTTTGTAACTGGAAAATTATTTTAAGGATGGTAATGTGTGTGCTGAGAAAAATGTCACACTGTTCAAATTTGCTGGTTTAACCATCAATCAGATTCTTCAAATGGGCCAAGGACTTCAAGGATACATTAACTACCGAAATGAAAAAAAATGTTCAAGCGTTCTCTTTTACATCCATAGTTTTCATCAGATTTTTCAAGGGTCCACTGCCCGAAAATGACTAAGATGAATACTGCCAAAGTTTATAAGTATGTTTTTTCTATAGGATTTGCCAGGGCATTTACTATACTCAGATGTACTGTGAACTTCCAAGAGAGGGAGTTAGCAGTCTGCAGTGATTTCTCAAACTTCCCTGATTACACACTTACAGTACTTTGTTCTTAAGCACCAAATACTATCTCCTTGAACTCAGAACAACCTCTCAGGGTCACAGCCAAAAAGAATTCCTTGCAAACTAGAAGAAGATCCTTTAGCTATAATATTCCAAATTTTAGCTAATAAAACTATGTTTAACAGAGCACTAGACTTCAGTACATTCGACCTTCCACACCCATGGGTTCCAGGTCCATTAATTCAACCAACCTCAGATCAAAAATATTTTCAAGAAAAATTTTTTAAGTACAAAGTAACAATACAACAATTTTAAAAACATGCAAAAAAACCCAATATAGGGCCGGCCCGGTGGCGCACTGGAGAGTGCGCCGCTTGGGAGCGCAGCAGCGCTCCCACCGAGGGTTCAGATCCCATGTGGAGACCAGTTCCTGCTCACTGGCTGAGCGCAGTGCGGGCGCAACACCGAGGGTTGCGATCCCGTTGCCAGTCCCCGGTACGGGCGCGACACCGAGGGTTGCGATCCCGTTACCGGTCAGTAAAAAAGACAAAAAGGAAAAAAAAAAACCCAATATAGTGTAACAGCTATTTACATAGCATTTACACTGTATTAGGTATTATAAGTAATCTAGAGATGATTTAAACTATACAGAAGGATATGTTCAGGTTATACGCAAAAACACCACATTTATGAGCATCCATGGATTTTGGTATCCGCAGGGGGTCTTGGAACCCCCATGGATATAAAGGGATGACTATAAACTCTTCAAAAATCAAAGAAAACCAATTTTTTTAAAAAAGAGATATGCAGTTAACACTATAAAGAGAACTTTGGTAAGATACTGAATGGCAAGACTCAATAAAATATAAGCTAATATGTTTTACCTTATTAACTAAAGTTTAACTCCTGAAGGACTAAAAGCAAGCCTGTTTTAAAAGTGGTTTAATCTATATGCTATTCAAAGATTGAAATCAATTTGAAGCCCACATTTCTTTAAATTTGAAGCCCACATTTCTTTAAATGAAGAAGTCACGACTAAACAGTTGGACAGAAACAGATGTAATATTAAAAAAGAAAGAACAGTAAAACTTGGGCATTTTAGCATTTTTTCAGTAACTACAAAATTTGCAGAACATCTTCTAAGCTCACAGTAATCACATACATACATAACAAACTTCAAGAAGCACAAACAAGAATGCCATGTTTTAAAAGATCTATAATATTAAATCCCATTTGATAAATTTTATAAGAAAAAATTATAAAGGCAACTAAAAATAACTTTATTCAAGTAGGTCTAGAACACTTAACCTGCCCGTCTAAGCCATAATAAAATTAAATATGTCAACATGTTAGTAAGGTTACCAACATTTACACTGATCAACATTCAACAATTTCAATACTTACCCATATTTTTAACCCTGCTTTTCAGCTGAGTAGAAATCCTCTTCTTACTCTTTGATTTGGGAGTTTTATCTTTAGACGCCAGGCTAGCCTGTGCAGATGCTTTTCTTGTCTTGAATGTTTTAGTTACTGTTGTTGGATCTACTGGATCAGGCATACTGCTAAAGCTTTCTAAGGATTCTTCATCAAACTGGCGTCTTCTCCTGCTTGTATCTAATTGATTTTTGCGGTTATTATTTGTACTCTTCTCTACAGACACTGAAAATCCAGTCTTAATAAATGGTTTTCCTACTTCACATTCTTGGTCATATAACCATGGTGTCCTACTATTTTCCACATCTTCTTCAGGCTGTTTTTCATTCCTTACCAATGAAAACAAGTTTTTTTAAATTACAATTATAGGTTTCTACATTTACTGAAAACTCCAGATGTACTTAATTTATAGATTACTGATGAGTAGATGAATAAAGTAGGTGAATAAAGCCATCAAAAGGCTATAAAGATATTTTCACAAAAACATGCACTAAATATGCATATATTACATAGGTTAATGTACTAAATTACTCTAAACTTTAATTCTGGACTTCTCTCACTAAACCATTTTTACTGGTGAAAGTTCCAAATAAAAAAGCTAGTATTCATGATTCATGACAGCAAGGGAAAAAAAAAAAAATCAAGGGAGGATGGGCATACAAGGAAAAAACAAAGTTGGAGGTTGAGAAAGACTTTAACTCAAGACAAGGATAGTAAACCTACAGCTCACAGGACAAATTCAGCCTGCAACCCTAAGAATGGATTTTATATTATTAAATGGTTTAAAAAAAAAAAAAAAGTCAAACGAAAAATAGTTCGTGACATATGGAATTCAAATCACTCATGTTTACATATTGATTATGGTTGCTTTTATGCAAAAAATGGACAGCTCACAGGACAAATTCAGCCTGCAACCCTAAGAATGGATTTTATATTATTAAATGGTTTTAAAAAAAAAAAAAGTCAAACGAAAAATAGTTTGTGACATATGGAATTCAAATCACTCATGTTTACATATTGATTATGGTTGCTTTTATGCAAAAAATGGTACAGATGAATGGCTATGATAGACACTGTATGACCTGCAAAATTTAAAATATTTACTGTCTAGCCCTTTACAGAACAAGTTTTCTGACCCCTACTCAAGACTACAAGGTTTCACCTGACTTCTTACCCCTAGTCATTTAATTCAGGGAATAACATTTGAAGTCAGTCAAATACCTAAAATAATATCCAGATTCATCCTAGAAATAATATAAATACCTAAGGCAGAACCAGAATAATTTTTAATTATTTATTATATATAAAATACAGATAATGAAGTAGAAACCTTCCACTACGAAGACCTATTCACTGAAGCTTTGAATAAATGTTTATTGCTTGTGACAGAGATTCATTCAACCATCATTTCTGGATGCATACTGCACTAAACACTATTAACCTCTTATGATAGAATACTTTAATAGAGCAACACAAGATTTAATACGAAAACATGGTTAGGACAGCTGAGAAAATAAGTCAACAAAGTGAGGGAGGTTAATGATAGGATTCTCAGAGGTGAATACAAAGTTCAAATACTAAGAGCTATTGGTTAATTAAGTAAAATAATCCTAAGAAGTTCATAATTAAACAATTAAACAGTATCAAAATGCTGATTTAAGAGTCTAAAACATGCCCAATCACAGCTAAAGGAAAATGTAACATGAATTATATATCTTGAAAGGACTAGGAAAGACAAAATCATAGAGTACATCTGAAAGAATATTAGGCTCAACTGACCTCTTAATTTTTCATCTTTCTAAAAAGTTTTTTTCTGAAGTAAATAACAATAAAAGGGTATAATATTGTTACCAGCTATCAAAATCATTTTCTGGATTAACACACTTATTAATAACATTATTTACCTAGCTATAAAAATGCCTGGAGAATGACTGGCCTGAGCCAGTCCAACTAGTCTTTCACACTATTTCAGTAAAAAACAGTATTTGGGGGCTGGCCGGCTGGCTCAGTTGGTTAGAGCATGGTGCCAATAATGCCAAGGTCCAGGGTTCAATCCTCATACTGGCCAGCCGCCAGAAAAAGAAAAAAATATATTTTAAGAATTGTATTTGAAAAGATTATGATATCAAAAAATAATGTGATTGCAGGCTGGCCCCGTGGCTCACTAGGGAGAGCGCGGCGCTGGAAGCGCCGAGGCCATGGGTTCGGATCCCATATAGGGATGGCCAGTGTGCTCACTGGCTGAGCATGGTGCAGACAACACCGTGCTGAGGGTTGCGATCCCCTTACCGGTCATAAAAAAAAAAAAAATAAATAACATGATTGCTTCGCTTGATTTGCCTTAAAAAAATGAAAATAAAACATAATAAATTTGAGAAACAGAGAGAAAAAGAAATCTTCACTAGGACTGATACCACATTATCATTAAAAACTTCCTGGTAAGGGCCGAGCCCGTGGCACACTCGGGAGAGTGGGGCGCTGGGAGTGCAGCAGCGTTCCCACTGCGGGTTCGGATCCTATATAGGGATGGCAGGTGTGATGCGCTCACTGGCTGAGCGCGGTGCGGCCGGTCACAAAAAAGGACAAAAAAAAAAAAAAACTTCCTGGGAAAAAATCGTTTTTATAATCTGGTAGTACTCAATATTCCATTTGAATGGGCCTTAGGAACTAATTTTCTAACCAGAGGCTATGAATCAAATGAAGGAACCATCACTTAACAATTATCTCTAGCAGTTAATATTAGCTTCTAGTCCTAAGTCAGCGAACAGTGAACTGGTTTAACCTTAAAGACAAATATTATATCAAGGCCAAAGGACATCCTTTGGGTCAGATTATAACCTTACAAAATGAATCACAGGACACCCTGAATCAAAACTCTGAACTTCTCTTGTACTAGGGTTACCAGCAGGTATATGCCTAGAAGACATCGAGTAAGATGTAAAAGTTTCTTTTCTCCAACACTATCAAGCCAAACAATCAGATATATCTTCCCTAATTGTATTTTCAAACACATATAATTAAATATAATCACAAAAGTGAACATTTAAGCAAATTACAGATTATGTTCACAATCAAGTACCTTTGTTTTTCTGCTCCAATAGAGGAACTGCTTTCAAAAGGTTTTGGAAAAGCCATATACTCTGTTTTCCCTGAAGGATTCTGGGCTAATGGTTGTCATTTAAGCAAATTACAGATTATGTTCACAATCAAGTACCTTTGTTTTTCTGCTCCAATAGAAGAACTGCTTTCAAAAGGTTTTGGAAAAGCCATATACTCTGTTTTCCCTGAAGGATTCTGGGCTAATGGTTGTTGCTGTTCAGTGGGTGTAGAAATATTCTGAGAAAAATCTCCAAAATTAGATGGAAATAAAGGGCTGAAATTCATACCTAATAAATAAAAGCAACAGGTAAGAGAACAATAATGAACTGCCTTTAGCCTTAAAATGAAATTAGAAGACAGTTTTAATTAAATGTGTTATTCAAATCCACCAAAACAAAAAATCATTAATTAAAATAAACTAATATTCACTTATTCAATCACTGTTTATAGCTCAGCCCACAAAGTTTTAAAGCACTGGTTACACAAGGATGACTCATGATACCTATTCCCTAAAGAGCTAAAAGTTAGAAATAATAGTACCTGACATTAATCAAAATATTACTCAACTGTAGGCACCCTACACATTATTTTAATTAACATTTAAAACACTATGAAATAGGTAACATTTCATATTCATGAAAATATTCATTTTACCAGTAAGAATATAGACTTAGAGATCAAACGTCTAATTAATAGAGGAGCTGGTTAGATCTTGAGTCTGCATGACTCCAAAGCTTAGGTTCTTTCCACCCTACTTTCATTGGGAAAGTAGAATATGATTAAACACTTACAAACAGTACTATGTATCAGAGGTATTTGTAAGGGGCTACTAACAACTTGGGGAGGAAGGGATCAGGAAGGCTTCACAAAACTACTTATGAAGAATGAATAGTCTTTGTACAGCATTGGCATGGGTATTAAGTGTATTACAGCAAAATGGACCTGCATGTGCAATTTCCTATAAATTACTTAAAGCCTACTCAAAAAATGTTCGCTGCCTATATTAACTGACACTCAGGAACTAAAATGCTTGCCAAATTTTTAAATGCGACTGTCTTAAAATTTCTGTTAAGAAAATATTCTATGGCATATGGATATTTATATTCACAAACCCCTCCCAACCTTTTTTCTCCTCCTATATTCCCTGGCAAACACTTTCAACTACTAGTTCATGATTCACCTCATATAACTAGTCACTTAACTTATTCATTCTACCTCCATAATGTCTTTTCAATTACTTCTTTTCTTTACCCCGACTGCCAATCAATACCTTAGTTAGGATTTCTCTGATAATACTGCAACAGCCTGTACTCACCAGCTATACTCTTAGCTCCTTCCCTCCAATTTCTTCTTAACACTATCACCAGTGTAATCTTTCTAAAACATAAGTCTCATGTTATCCCCCTGCTCAAAATCCTTCAATGGTCCTCTCTTATCTGCAATATAAAGTCTAAACTTTTCACAAAAGGCCTCTGCCATTCTTTGGCCACATCAATTATTAAACCTTAGCCACATTTAATTACCTCTGAATTCCCTAAGTGATATACTATGTCATTGCTTTATAACTCTTAAGTTGTTCCATTGATAAGAAAGCCCTTTCCCTTCTAATCTCCCTGGAAATAAATCTATGCATTCTTTAGCTTAAATGTCACATTTTCTGGAAAAAAAAAAACCTGACCTGCTGACACTTTCCCCAAACATTTGCACTATAGCACCCATGACACTGCACTATAAGCATTTATTAACACTCTTAGCTTCCCCACAACACTCTGAATTCCTTAAAGGAATTAGTTTTAAAGGATTAGTCTTACTCACCTTTGAATCCCAGTAACTTATATAGTGTCTGGCACTTGGGTGAATAAATAAAAGCCTAAGGTAAATGGGCTCAAACTTTAGTCTAGCAGTGTATTTCCATAACAAGACATGGTACTCCTTGAAGGGCTCCTCTTAAAAAGAAGATACATGTTTTATTCACCTTTACTCTTCTAAAGTTTTACAAAGTACCTGGTACACAGCAGCCACTGGATAAGTTAATTCCTTTTCACCTTAATAAGTAGTTGAAGCAATCATTCAAAAGTAGCTTACTTAATTTTGTTACCAATCATATTATTAAGCTTAAGTTTTCATCATAAAAGAATTAATGAAGAAAGGAGTCTAACTTTGCAAACAGTTCCTACCATTTGAAAAGAGGATGTTAAAAATCTACGCAATACGCCAATTATATTCTCAAACACTTTGCATTTATTTCTTTTCTCTTTAGGTTTTCTGTCACCTACCTGGTGCAAATGATGAAAAATTAGTAAATCCAGGTAGATTAAACAGATTTACAGGTTGTGTTGGAAAACTAAAAGGACAAAATAAACTGGGAGAAGAAGGGTGTGATGCACTACTGCCTCTTTCCTTGCTTCCAGGTTTTTCTGGATGTTGATTTTGTTGGCACATAAGTTCATTTAGCATTTGTTTCAACCTGAAAGAAGTCAGTAATTTAAAAATCAGTTATATTACTATCTATATAAAGTACATTCAAAAGAATATATGTAAGAAATGATTCAGTAGCATGCAGAACAGACTGACTGCTCTGATACTTACTACAACAAATGCTTGCTCAGCAGGCTTAATTCAGTAACCTAACCTTTGGAAGAAGAACTGAACTTAGAACTTCTGTCAGACAGTATAACTATAAGAAACTCATTTTGTTTGCTTATAGCTTTACTGAGGTATAATTTACACACTACACAATTCACCCAGTGTAAGCATTATCACTCAATAATACTAATTTCTAAAAAAAAAAAGTCAAGTCCACAGTATTAAAAGGGAACATTGGCCAAATCACTGCTTACAAAATTCTTGGGTGGTAGAGAATATCCAAACATGCAATCTGGCTCATGTCCTTTTCTCCCAGAAGTTAACTATAAAACCCTCAGTATTAAAAGGGAACATTGGCCAAATCACTGCTTACAAAATTCTTGGGTGGTAGAGAATATACAAACATGCAATCTGGCTCATGTCCTTTTCTCCCAGAAGTTAACTATAAAACCCTCACTCAATATTAGCACTTACTATACAGTCTCAATACCTGTAAGAAACAGATTACCTCTGAACATTATTCTGTTGCCATGTTAGCTGAGTATAGCACTGGTTCAGCTGATGCATTATAAGGTGTACTTGAGGAGATGCAACATTGCTGGGCATAACACTGTAAGGACCCGTAAGAAGAGTTTGTAGCAGACAAGATAGAGTCTATTGAAAGAAAAATTTGGTAATAGTTACTGCTGACTTCAGAAAAATTTGTATTGCTTCACAAATAATAAAGATGAAAGAAAAGATTCATTTTCATAGGAAAATTTACCTGTTGATCTTGCATCAAAGTCTGACAAATACTAACACTGAAATCAAGTTGTTTCTTTAGCTGATTGATTTGTTCTTGCCACTGTTCTTTCTCTTCTACGTAAGAGAGTTCTGACACCCACCGAAGGTTTTCTTGCCTTTGTGTGCTGATATTCTGTTGCCTTGTCTTGGCTAAAGGACGATAATTTCCGTCTGCTGAAAAAGGGTGATTGTTCCTCCACCTAACACAACATTTAAAACATTAAGTCATCGTACATAATAACTCAGTTTTTATTTATTTATTTATTTATTTATTTATTTTTCCTTTTTTTTTTTTTTGGTCTTTTTTCGTGACTGGTAACAGGATCACAACCCTCGGTGTCGCGCCCGCACCGCGACCGGCAACGCGATCGCAAACCTCGGTGTCATGCCCGCACCGCGCTCAACCAGTGAGCCGACCGGTATCTACATG